TGTGGGAAAAGAGGCTGAGTGTTGGGAATTTAGGTGGGGGATGGTATGAATTCCCTGGGATTTGGTTTGGACAGTGTGCCATCGGAATTCAATCATTCATAGGGATTTGAACGAGTTAATTAAATAATCAATCAATGACATTTCACTTTGGTTACTACTTACTCACTCAGAAATGAAAAGTTATCAATCACTCACCCACTTTTAAACAAAGTTACCCATCCATCACTCATTTAAAATCCCTCCATCCACATGGACAAAAAAACCCACGTGGCAGATGAAAATCATACGTGGACGTAACAGTGTTAAATATTTTGACAACGTGGACCAAAATCAATTAAATTAAAATAGTTTTTTCTTCCAAAATTTTCATAACGTTTTTCCTCAAAGCACGATGCAATTCTCTTGAATTCAAATCGATTTCCTCTCCATAACATTATTCAATTCTTCCCTACATCAAACCCAAACCATAACCATTTTCATCCCAGTATAAACCCCAAATCAAGGAACGATTGCATATTAAACTCCAATTTGAGAAATCCCCAAACCAATATGAACCCTAAATTCCTCTACAATCCCCACAAATGACAAACAACCTTATTATTGACTAATAGTGGTCAAGTTGATAGTTACATTCAGACACACAATGTTAAATTAAAACAAAACCCAACCTTTCTTGAAAATTAAACTTGACTCAACAAGATAACTTTCACCTTTAAATAAAATTTGACACAGTTACGGTGTCAAATGGTTTCAAAATTAATGAGTATGATAAATGAGCTTATGTCAAGAGCACTCAAAATTGGTTTGCTCCCCAATAGTCACCAGTTCGAGTCACCTCAGGGCCACTGAGGTGAGTATCCGATCGTAAGCTTCAGGGCCCAGTGGGATTAGTCGAGGTGCATACAAGTTGACCCGTACATCCACGATTATCAAAAAAAAGTCAAGAGCACTCAAAATTGATATATTTATACGTGGATAACATGTTAATTATGGGTAATAATGACACTATAATTCAAACTACTAAAATGAAGTTTACAAGTTTAAAATGAAGGATATGGGTGTCACTGATATTATATTAGAAATTAAAATCTCTACAACATTCGATGATCTCATATTATTCCAATCACACTATATTGAGAAAATTTTTGATAAGTTCAATAAATATGACATTATTATTATGAAGACACTAGTTGATGCTAGTATACATCTTGTTTCAAACATCGATGATACAGTTGGAAAACTCTCGTATTATTGGTTATTTAATGTATGTGAGGATCTGCACTCACCTAATATTGCTTACTCTATAAGTAGACTAAGTTGATATATGAGTAATTCGAACACCGAGCATTGAAAGGCCATTGTTAGAGTTTCAGGATAATTAAAACATACCAAAAAATTCATATTCCACTATTTGAAGTATCCAACATTATTTGAAGGATACAATGCGAATTGAAAAGCAGATACTAAAGACTCTAAGTTTACAAATGGATATGTCTTCACACTTGGAGGTGCTGCAGTATCTTGAAAATCTTTAAAACAAACATGTATAACTAGATCAACGAAGGAATCCGGATTCATTGTGTTAGATAAAGTTGGGGAAGAAGCCGAATGGCTACGAAACTTTCTAGAAGACATTCATGCTAGGTAAAGCCTCTGGTTCTTGTTTTGAACTTGCTCATGATACCATGGGTGTCTCTTAAGTCCTAGTGATGAATCATGTATACTCTCATGGATGATGATTTTCTTTCGAACCAACTTCTGAATGTTTGGTTGGCTTAGTTGACAAGCATGATTCATGTAATGTTGTTGCATCCTTTCAGCCTTGGTGGTGATTATTTGCTTGATCAATTTTTAATTTTCAAACTCAATTTGGTTTCTACAATGCCTTAATGAGTTTGAGGGAATGTTGAATATATCAAAAGGTCGTAACATTATTCTCTTTGGTATTTTTCTCATTGTAAGAGATTATTTTCCTTCATAGTTGATTGTGTAATTATTACACAAACTTTCCTTGTTAGAGCTAGATGTAACCTATAAACAGTATATTCTACTATGTAATATAAAAACAAGTTTATTACATAAAACTTATATTACTCTGACACGTGCACAGTTCTCATAAATAAGTGACAGAAAAACATTAACTTCAATAATATACTATCCCACCTCGACTAAAAACTCAAAATTTTTTAGAATCAACACATTTGTTATTCAAATTTAATCTCCAACAGTGTCTGTGTGTGATAGACAGAGGGGGGTTAGAGGGAACTAACATTCGCCATGCGGATGAAGATAACAAATTTAGGATTTCCATCATCTTCAATCTTGGGCAAAGGCGGCGGCGGTGTACGCTGGTACTGTCTAGCCGCCATTCCTTTCTTCCCCTTTGCTTCAACCACCATTACTCGCCGTTCCTTCTGCCCGTACATCTTTCTGGAAGTCGTTGTTCTGGTCGAGAAAAGTGAGTGTCTTATACGGGAATCTTCAAGTGTTCTTGAATTTGATAAGGGAACTCTCACCATTGAATGCAAAGACATACCCACCTCCATTTTCACAGTTAATTTGAACAAACTGTGGGAGATTTTCAGGTTTTTGTGAAGTATTTGGTGGAGATGCCGGCTTTTGGGGCTTAGCTAATCCTATCCACAACGTTTAGCAGTGAACTGAAATGAATAGTATTTTTCGAAATGAAATGTACTAGAAGAAGCACGTTTGCGCAGATAGTCCTCAACCTATTGCATCTGTGCGCAACTAGTCCTTTATTCTTCTATTTTTCCGCTGACATCCTCAACCTATGATTTTGGTCTGAAGTCAGTCCTTTTCATCAAATTCCATTCATTTGATGTTAAATGTTAAAATTTTGATGAAAAGGATAAACATACCCTTAATTTTAATAAAAGAGATACAAAAATTAGAAAAGATAGCAAAAAAATTGACAAAATGTTCTAATGTCTTCTCAAAACATGTCCTCGGATTTCACCCATCGATCCGAGCAACCAATTCGTTATATAGTATATATTGCTCTGATTTCGAATTTTTGTTGTGCAAATTTCGATTCATGTTCATGTTGTTGCTTGTTATACTCTAATTGATGACTCGGGAACTTTGTGAAAAAAGGACGTACGGACGAACCAGCCGGGCAGAGACTGTGTGGACCACCACCATATCATATACGTTAATCTCTCTATTTAATTCTGAAGAGCATAATGAGAAAAATGATATACTGAACGTAGAGAGCATGCCACTTTTAATTCAATAAATCTAATTTAATTTTTTAAACCTACCATAAAGTAACAGTTAATCAACACAAAAACTGTTTGAATTTGGGAAATTATCATATCAAATTATTTGTAGTAGATTGTGCAATAATCTCAAGATTAATTCAGCAATGGGCAATCCTTTTACCCAGAAAACGGTAATTATATGGAACACACTTAAATATACATTTAAGGTTAGTGTTAAAACAATACTATGTATGACAAACAACAAAGTAAAAACAAGTTAGCACTACCATATCTTCATAACTAATTAGATTTGAACATGCAGTTAAACAAAACGTTTCTTGAACAAATGGTGTCTCTTAGCCGGCTCCTTGAGCCTGCTTTTTGACTGCCCATGCAGCTTTTTCTGCCCAGTACTGCAACAACAAAAAGGCAGGTTTTCAGCTCAAATAATCTTAGTAGTGCTTATAAGTTGTGAATCCAAGGAAAGTGGGTTAAAAATAGAGTTTGACCAACTTATAAACACTTGTAAGCTTTGCCAAACATGACAAACTAGACACCCAATACAGTTTAAACATATAATGGTACATATTTAATGAATATCTGTTATTAAATCAACAAGGAAGAAAATTATTTGAAGTGAAGATTATATAAAACCCATACCTGTATTCCATGTATACCATTCCACTGGCTCCTGACATTGCACTCATGGATCCTGCAGAGCGACGGGCTTTCTGAAGGGCAATGCCATCTGTGTCTTCTTCTAGTTGCTCCAGACCGACTGCATCGTCACCTGCACTTAGCACCTGTCATAAAAGATAGAGAAGACTATCAGTATTGTCAGGGAGACCTTGTTACTCATTGCACTTTTGTCTCAAACTAATAAAAGAGAAAACAAGTATGCAAACCTTTCCGAGAAGTGCAAGCTGCTCGTCAAGACGAGAATAACTCAATGTGGCTCCTGAATCAGAAGGAGGTAAGCCTGTGATTACCTGAAAACAAGTTGAAGAGTCATAACCAAGCAGAATATGCATCTCAAACATTAATGGAAAATTTGAATTAGAGGAATATGCTACAGTTGAGAAGAGAACATTGTAAAGAAATAGAACACTAAATCTGGAGATGTGAGAGAGGCTCTGTACCTTAAAGCTATAACCTTGATCAATCAAAAACTGTTGCCGTTTAGTTGAGTAATACATTTCCTGCATCGAAACAATGCAGCTAAGCAAAACAGATCCCAGCATACAAAGTGATTTAAAAACAGAACCTGGAAAGCGAAAACATGCACACCTGGGTGTCTGTAGATACAAGGGAGTAGAAAAATGCATTGTACTCTTCCTTACCCCCTGCTATCCTGTCCCGAGGCTTCCCCTGTCAATTGAAAAACAAACTTGACAATAAGCCACGACGGCTGCATTATGCAAGAGAGATTCCGTCATAAATGACATTATATTACTGAATACACACACACATGAATGACCGTAGATGTGGACAGAGAGAAACTAAAGCTAGAATACACCATGACTCTAAGCCCCTGTTTGGGCTTCATTCTCCAAAAATACATTTTTCTTTCTTATTTTCAACAGCATATTTTTCAATAGAATAATATTACACGTAAACCCAAAACTTTTTCTTATTTTTTAACCACACATTCTTCAAAATGTTAATATTCAAAAATGCATTTTTAATGGAGCCCAAACAAGGGCTTAATGTAACCACTGAATCCTGTGCTGTACTGGAATGTCAATTACAAGCAGTATCCAAAAACTAAGAGAA